AGACATTTTTTTTTTTTTACCACCATTTATTAACCTGTTGCAGCTATAACAGCCTCTGGTCCTCTGGGTGTTCAAGAAGGTGCAGAGTCGTCTTTCTGGGGAGGCTTTCTATAATGTCGATTCTGTCTAGGACAATGTTTGACCATACGTCTAGAGGCACGTTTTTAACGAGAGCCACTGATTTTGAACAAGGGGGCCTGGCTCACATTCCCTGTTCCAATTCATCCAAAAAGTGTCCTGTTTGGTTGAGGTTAGTACTCTGTCCTGGCCTTTCAAGTTTTTCTACACCCAGAACTTTTAGACTTTGCTTTGACCCATTTCTGTTCCAGCATGAAAAACCCAAAGTGGCTTTTAATGTATCATTAAATTGTCCAAAATGTCCTGATATGCTGCAGCATCAAGAGTTAATACAACCAAGGGGTAAAGCCGAACTTCAGAAAACCAGTCCAACACCATAATTCCCCATGCATCAAACTTAATACTTGACACAGTGCAGTCAGGCAAGAGCTGTACTCCAGGCAACTGCCAAACCCAGATTAATCAACTGAATTAGCTGACTAAGAGGCATCATTTGCCACTCCAAAGAACACATCCGCTCTGCTCCAGAGTCCTGTGTTGGAATGCTTTATACCAGTGCATCTAGTGGATTCAGTGATGTAAATCTCTATCACAAGTAGATATTCCTGTAAAATGTACATTTAGTAAAACTTGCTATGCACAGTGTCAAGGTAATTTAAGGCCTACATGTTCAAAGCTCTTAATGAGCATTATAAACCTCTGAATTCACTGACCCCCATTATGTGGCCTACCCAGGTTGTGTTTAAGCTCCTGTTTTACCCACTCTCTTTCAGCTAACATATTAAGGACCGAACTTATTGCAAAGGTAGGTTCCTATCCCTGCCCCATGAAAGACACCCAGTCTTTCAAAAATGTATCTAGAAGCAGCCTGCATGGCTTAGCACGCTAGACTTTTATACAGTTTTGGCCGTGGAGGGATTACAAAACCTGAGTTCAGTGGTTCAAATGCTTAATATATCTCTTCAGTAAAATTTTGTATTTTGTTTTTTTTTTGCCAATGACAAAAAGTGCTGAAAGCTTCTTTTTTGTGTTTACATAAATAGTATTAAAGTAAATCTGTTTTTATTTTGGAAAAGATATCCTCTTTTTTATTATTATAGTTGACCAAATGCATACAAGAGTCATTAAAAAAATCTAAACATTCTAAAAAAATTTTATGCTAGAAAGCATTAAAGCAGATCCTAACTTTTAGCCTTCTTCAGATGTTTGTCCTGTCTGACTCTTTTCCCATCTGCCACTCTACATTTGTGTCACACATTTCCAAATCTACATTTTAGTTGGTCTGCTCTTTTAATTGTTTCAAGGGGGGGAGGCTGTAACTTCAAAATAAAAATCACACCAGTATATTAGTATATACATGAATGCCAACAGCAAAAAACTAAACTATAAAATTTTCTGAAAAGTGCTTATGCTGGCTCTGATCCTGATGTTTAAATAAAGCGTTAGCCTCGCTGCATGCAGTTAGCCAAGCCTTGTTGCTAAATAATTATATAAACCTGTCATTCAGACGCACTTTATAACGCATGACTGTGATGTCAGCGCTGTGGCGGGAGCTTTCAGCTCTGATGGTCCTATCTTTCGTTTTGAAGAGGAGCTACTGCACATGTACAACTTTTACCAAACAGTAAACACGTCACCATTCAACAACGAACAAAACAGCTTTTCTTGTCATTAAACATTCAATATTTAATGGGGGGGGGGGGTTATGTTTTAGTGAAGGCCATTAGGTGAGTGGGGTGGCACCCTACCCTCTATTGGCCAGTCGCCACTGATAGACACTAAATAATTCAAGACAGTTT